TCCAGTAGGAGCAGCACCACCAGCTCCGGCAGCTCTAGTGCCTCCAGTACGAGCACCTCCGGGACCAGCAGCTCCAGCACCTCCAGCAGCAGCAGCAGCAGTAGCACCAGCTCCAGCAGCTCCAGTACCTCTAGTACGAGCACCTCCGGGACCAGCAGCTCCAGCACCTCGAGCAGTAGCACCACCACCAGCTCCAGCAGCTCCAGAAACTCCACTACCTCCAGCACCTCCAGCACTAGCAGCACTACCAGCTCCGGCAGCTCCAGCGCCATCAGCACAAGCACCCCCGGGACAAGCAGTGCCAGCACCACCAGCACCTCCAGCACCAACAGAACCAGTGCCTCCAGCGCCAGCGCCTCTAGCGGCAGGGCCTCCAGCTCCAGCAGAGCGACTCCGAAGGCGGGTGCGCCAAGCGTACCACTCGCGCAGCTGCTGTGGTGAGTGAGGCTCTTGCCGGCTAGACCGCTCGGGCGAGGCACCAGTGGGACCTCCAGGACTAGTAGCTCCAGCACCTCCAGTACCTCCAGTACCAGCAGTACCTCCAGCACCTCCAGGACTAGCAGCTCTAGGGCCTCCAACTCCAGCAGCGCCACTCCGAAGGCTCCAACGCCGAGAAAACCACTCGCGCAACTGCTGTGGTGAGAGAGGCTCCCGTAGTGTAGACGCAAGACCCCTAGGCCCAGCACCCCCAGACTCAGCACCCCCAGGCTCCGTACGCTCAGGCTCAGCACCTCCAAGCTCCAAACCCGCAGGCTCAGCACCCTCAGGCTCCGCACGTTCAGGCTCAGCACCTCCAGGCTCCGCACGCTCAGTCTCCGCAACCGCAGGCTCAGCACCCCCAGATGCAGCACCGAGCAGCACCAGAGTCACCATTGACCTCGACACACTCAACCAAGGGGAGTGGGTCTACCTGAGACACACCTGAAGGAGCATGACCCTGATGGGGGAGGGGGTCTACCGGAGGGGGACCTGGAGCGAGGAAGAGCGGCAGGGGGGGGAGAGGGGCAGTGCGGTAGGGGAAGAGACGGTAAAAGGGAACCGACTCGTCGAACGTGACAAGGGTGGTAAAACTGCCAGCCAGGCGCGTTAGGGGGAAAGCCAAGGAACACGCAGGGAACGGCGCGCGAGGAGAGCTTGTCAGCCATAGACCCAGAACACCGACGCATCGCCAACCTCTCCCGTCCAACGCAGTGTAGGCGAGGTCTCCGGCAAGGAGACACGGGGCCAGAGGTTGAGCGCATGCGCGGCGTACTGGACCGCAAACGACCACAGAAAATGGGGAGCAGCCGCATGGATCATGGAGGAACGAGCGACCTCCATGACTAAGCCAATGCGGCGCTCAGCAACCCCATTCTGCTGCGGAGAGGCCGGAAGCGTGAACGACTGGAGGATGCCCTCCCTACGACAAACGTCCCGCAAGAGGTCGGATGAGAACTTACCACATCTGTCAGAGTGCAGGCGCAGGACAGGAAGGTCCGTGCGAAACCGCTCGCGGAGCTGGAGACGGACAACGCGGATCCAAGAGATCAAAGACATCAGGGACCTCCCCCTTGCTGCGCAATGGGAAGACCGTGGTGTAACGCGAGTAGTCGTTAGCAACCAGCAGAAAGTATCGCTCGCGACCCTGTCCCTGGACGCGGGCTGGGCCCCACACGTCCATGTGGAGAGTCTGCAGGGGAGCAGTCGTCGGGGGAAACGAGGAGGAGTGAGGAGCGGCGCGCTGCCACCCCTCGACATAGGGAAGGCAGGGAGGGGCAGGCGAGGGTGGGAGGGGAGGCAGAGACCTGGGAAGACCAGAGACAAGGAGGCGGGAGTGCATGCCACGGAGGCGTGGCAGGAAGGGGTGACCTAGGCGGTGGTGCCAAAGGAGAGTCTGGTGCGACACGAACAGGGGGCTGCTAGCTGACCTGACGCGGACGCGGATGCAGCTACCTGAGGAGGCTCAGTAGTCAGTGTGTACAGGCTTGACCCAGGCCGATGGGTGAACGTGGCCAGGTGACGGCCCGTCCGTACACACGTGCAGATCGCCACACGCTGTCCTCCAGGGAAAAAGGTATCAACCCAAGCATCCTGAAGGATGGTGTTACTCACCAAGTTCGTAGAGAACGAGGGGAGGTGAAGACCTGGCAGTGAGCCAGACAGGACCGCCGGACATGGGAGAACAGTGGAGGAACGTGCAAGAACCGGTCCCCCAGAGGGGTCAGCCAAAGTGACTGCAACCGGTGCTGCGAGTGGTGTGACTGTGGTGCTGTCGCGAAAGAAGCAGCGGGAAGCACCTGAGTCAAGCGTGAAGATGTGCAAGGCCTCAGCAGTTGTAGTACCAGAGAGAGCAGACTCACCAGCACCTAGAGCACCCTCACCAGCACCTAAAGCAGCAGCCGCTATACCAGGGTTGGGCGGCACGCACAGGTAACAGTCTCAATGAGTACTAATGGTCAAAGCATACATGGCAGTGAGGATAGAGTCATAGTCTAGAGCAAAGATATCAACACCCTGCCTAAGCAGCTCTAGCCAGCGGGGGAGCTCAGCTGCGTTGCCAAACTCTGCACGCCAGGTGTCGCTCAAAATGGAGAAGCAGCGGGAGTGTGTGTGACCAACTGTCTCGCAAGTCTGACCAGCCCGATCACCTGTGCGAATGACGTACGGGTAGCGAGCACTAATCCGAGATGCCCCACGCTGAGCGTACCACTCACGAAGCTGCTGGGGCGTAAGGGTCTCGCGCGGACGCCGCTGCAAGTGCACCAGGCCACCGCCAACAAAAACTCCCAACTGAACAGCTATACGACCACTGCCACTACTGCGGCCGCCACCACTCCTACTAGCGTACCACTCACGTAGCTGCTGGGGCGTAAGGGTCTCGCGCGGACGCCGCTGCAGCTGCAGCTGACCACCGCCAGAAACTCCACACCGAACAGCTCCACAGCGACTGCTACTACAGCCGCCACCACTTCCACTGCTGCCACCACCGCCGTCACCACTCCCACCGCTACTATGAAGAGAAGTCATAGCGGGCAAGCAAGGAGGCGCGCGACCAGTAGTGCAGCACGGAGAGAAGGCAGGGCGGCGAGCAGGCACTAGGGTTTGGCGCATGGTTAGGAAGGGCGGCGCGCGGCCAGAGCAGAGGCGGCGCGCGGCCAGGCAGGGGCGGCGTACGGCCAGTAGGGCAGTGCACGGGGCTGCAAAGGGTGGTGCGCAGGTATGCAGGGGCGGCGTGCGGGCAGGCAGGGGCAGCGCGCGGGCAGGCAGGGTCAGCGCGTGGCCAGCAGGGCGGCGCGCGGGGCTGAAGAGGGTGACGCGCGGGCAGGCAGGGGCGGCGCGCGGCCAGCAGGGCGGCGCGCGGGCTGCAGGGGCGGCGCGCGGGCTGCAGAGGGCGACGCGCGGGCTGCAGGGGCGGCGCGCGGGCTGCAGTGGCGGCGCGCGGGTTGCAGAGGTGGCGCACAGGCTGCAGAGGCGGCGCACAGGCTGCAGGGGCGACGCGCAGGCTGCAGGGGCGACGCGCGGGCTGCAGGGGCGACGCGCGGGGCTGCAGGGGCGGCGTGACACAGGGCAGGGCAGGGCGTGCGCGGGGCAGCGCAACGCTGGGCAGGGCAGGGCGTGCGCGGGACGGCGCGATGCGGGGCATGGCGGGGCGTGCGCGGGGCAGCGCAACGCAGAGCAGGGCAGGGCGTGCGCGGGGCAGCGCGACGCGGGGCAGGGCAGGGCGTGCGCGGGGCAGGGCAGGGCGTGCGCGGGGCAGCGCAACGCAGAGCAGGGCAGGGCGTGCACGGGGCAGCGCGACGCGGGGCAGGGCAGGGCGTGCGCGGGGCAGCGCAACGCGGGGCACGGCGTGCACGGGCAGCGTGACGTAAGGCAGGGCAGGGCAGGGCGCGCGCGTGACGGCGCAGCGCAAGGCAGGGCGTGGGGTAGCGCGGTAACCGCAGTCGGTCACTAGCTAATGGCGGGCCCGAAAAAAACGGTCCTACGGACCTACTGTTTTGAAACCATGTCAGAAACTAAGGAGCAGGAATGGATGCATTGATCAGAATTGTGGTACAAGTACTAACCCTAATTGGGTTGTACCCCATATAGGCTACCCCAGTACAGCCTACACAACATAAGCAGCATTATAGTTTGACAGTACCAAGAGGCAGTCAGTCGTGTGGTTTAGTAGAAACAACCTTTTTTCTTAGGGAACACTTATGCTTCAGGAAGTGACACTGATTTTTCAGGTTTTTTTTTCTAGGGGACACTGTCAACCAGGGATTCCATGCAGAGGGACCCTGATCTCTAAGTGGATCTGAGGGCCTGGTAGACACATGCAGCTGCAAGAGCAACAGTGCAACTCAGGCAATGAACGTTGGTACAGCCAGGCAATGAATCTTCCTCGGTTTGGACTGGGCTTTCCCTTACCCTTTTCAGACACTGGGCATAGGTACAATATTGCCAACAGTTTTGAACCGAATTGTATAAAAATAACCACCTGCCGTATTCACCAGTACCAGTGGCTGGGACAAGGTCCATAAATATTGCTGTTGTCAGACAAGACTACGTTTTGAACCAGTCAGTTGTTGTATGGATTCACTGCATTATCATATTGTTACAAATGGAACAATGTGGTAATGATTACCAGTGATTCAACATGCAATAGGGCTTGCATACACTAATTTTTGGACCAGTAAGAGAGTTCAGTAATGAAATTCCACACCAATGTCGTTCAAACAGCAGGATCTGCAAGCATGCACATGGGAAGGAAGGTGAGACATGGTTGTCATGCACGGATAGAAATTAGTGCTTGAGCTTTTGAAGTACCTGGCGTGCTGTTGCTGTACAAGCTGCTGCCGAGCTTCTAGGAGCTTGAGGGTTGCTCTGCAGTTGCAAGGCTTCGACGTTGGTGCCTGGGCTGGAGCGTGCGGATAGTTATGGAGTCTTGGTGGTGCAGCATGCAGCATGCCGAAGGTTTTTTCTACTCATCCATCCATCGCGACTTTGGGGAATAGCTTTGCTCTGGCAAAGGACGCCAGTCACGAATTTGAAGCAGGCTCCCGGAGATTGCATTGTTGAAGAAACTCGTTGGTGTATGGCACGTAACGAGTCCAGAAGTGCTGGTATACAGGTATTGCCAACTCCAGCCACGGTTTTGCATGGCCGTTGAAGTGAATCACAGCTGCGTTCTTGATGCTTTCCAGGTTGACGGTACTCTTGCTTCCCAAGCCAAGTACTTGCCACTTCTTGTCAAGAGGTTCTGTGGAATTGTAGAATGTCAACAGCCCAGGCGGGAGGGTTCCAAGCTTCCAGAGGGTACGATTCTCATTCTGCAAGACGAAGGGGAAGGTCAGCTGCTTGTCTTTGGATTGTTGTACTGCAAGGACGAGACTACGACCTCACCTGCTGTTGCCAGTAGTGATACTTCTCTGTGTAACTGCCGGCTCTCCACGCATCAAGGTCAAAAAGGTTCATTCCGTATGCCCACCCGCATCCTTCAGGATCATACTGCTTCAGGAGGGGACTTGAAAAGTTCAGGTAGGTTTTGAACCGGTGGAAGACCTTGCCACATGTTTCTACCGCTAGATTCACCTTCCCAATCATAGGGACCTGCAAGAAAACCCAACATTTTTTAGTAGTTCTCGATACTTTTACGCAAGGATGAAATGGAGCTTTGCTCACCTCCCAAATTTCTGTTAGGTCTTTCTGAACGACCACGTCATCATCGAGGAAGAGAATTTTGCTCAAGTCTGGAAATATCGTTGGAAGGTAGAAACGTAAGTGGTTGAGAATTGACAAATACTTCGGGTTCCGATACTTCAAGTCAATGTAGTCTTCCTTCCCAGGATTTCCTGCAACGCGAGGACCCATCGCGGTTCTAAAGTAGTAGTCTCGCATAGCGTCCGACTCGATTTGGCGAAGCACTGGGATGTTCAAGGGGTTGATCCACGGGTACTCGTGTAAACTCCGTACCTGCAATTGAGAAAACGAGTAGAAGTTAGCACCACGGTCTCAGGGCCGTGAACTAACAGCTGCGAAAGATGCAATTTCTTACCTCCCATGCCATCCCTCCTGTTGGGGGATTCAGCGTGAACCATGCTTTCATAGCCGCGTAGTTCATTCGATCCGTCACAATATGAAACACATGCTTCAACGGCTGCGGCGAGAGAGATAACAGAAACCTTGATGAGCACTGTGCATACCAGTGAACAGGCCGTAGTCTGCATTGAAACTGCGAATCACCTCTTGAGCATTCATCGCCGTTGAGTTCAAGACGACTGCGACAGCTATAACATTGTCGGAGAAAATTGCATAATGATAGAGCGACGGATCACGAAGCCTCGTATCCACTTGCTCGGAGTTATCACGGTTGCTGGTCCATGCAAGTGTTAATCGGAGAGAAAGGCAATGCAATGTTTGAGGGACTGCTCGAGAAGCAATCTGGCTGAAAACCATGCTTTGAAGCAATACGCTTTTCGTCTGGTGCTCGGCAGCCTCAAGTCGCAGTTTCAACCTGAATTGTTGGAGCGACCAATGTCAGAAAGGCAAAGACAGATAAAAACGCAAAACAACACCAACCTCTTTCAACTCACTTGGATTGTGGAGATCTCCCGTCCTTGGAACGCTTCTTTTTGCTCTTCGGATGCTTCGTTTCAATGCTTGTAATCGTCTGATTATCTGACGGAACAACGGAAGACACCTTGTCCAGAAGAAAAACACATCGTTCTAGTTCCTGCTCAACCTGTTCCGTCAATGCGTTGTCCTGGAACTCATCAGCTACCGCTAAGTACGCTCTCGCGGCAAGGAAACACTCCCTCAATCTCATAGGAAGTTGACTGGACACGGAATTGTTGAGCCCACGACCATTTCCTGATTCCAGCTGGTGGAAGAGTTGGTCAGAGACACCAGGCGATTCCTCATCTTCGAGAATATCAGGACGTGTGTTATTGAGTCCGCTGATCTGTAAACCAAAAGAGGCATGTTAAGAAAAAAAATGCAAATCTGAAGGACGAAAGTAAGAGAAAGTGGAGGATCTTGAGTAAAGGCATCATTCTTACCTGCTGTCGATATAGACTGTTGTGTCTTGCAATGTATCTGACGCCTGTTGACAACTCTGCAGGGAAACAAAAGGAGGTGATGAGAAATACCTAAACAAGGATATGGGCAGATGATAGTAGAGCCTCGACGCATACCTGGACTGGCAGCTAGGGGAATGCCACCAAAAGTTGAATTAAAGCTTATATCTTCTGCTCTCATAAAAATGAGTTGCTGGGTTACTAAAAGTATTAAGACTAACGAGATGGTCGTCTGTGCGACTCTGAAGGCCCCTCTTGAATATACGAAACGTCTAAGCAAACGGCTTAGTGTATGACCCTTCATCATGCATGGGACTGACGGAATTAGGAATTGGCTGTCAGGCGAGGATACCAGCAGCATCTCGCTGAGTCGTGTCCAGGAAAGGAGGTAAGCGAGACACTTCGAGGTTCTTGATGGGCCATGGAACCGCCTTTGTTGCTTGTGCTGACCAGGTAGCAGCACCCTCCAAAACAGGAGGCGAGAAAAGCTTTGGTGACGAACAGAACAGACACGTTCGTTCGTAGCCGTTGGGAAAGGCGACTCGTGATCCCTTCCACACAACTGACAGTGCAATGCACGAACCTCGCAGCAAGTGACGCTTCGCACGGGTTTGCTTCGACAAGGGCGCGTGTCTTTTGCATCGGAATGCCCTCAAACAAGCAAAACTGTAAGGAATTTTCTCGACATTCCTTAGCGCATCCCACAACATTGATGTTATGAGTTGTAATGAGTTGTACGAAAGAAGAGTGCGCAGAATGCAATATTGCAGAAGTGATTACAACTACTGAGCAAACAACGAAGCCTAGGCATAATATAGCAAAGCTAGCTAGGCCGAGGTCGCGGAGTCGCGCGAAGGTTGGGTGCAGGTTTGGGGTTGGGAAACCCGAAGGCGACGCGGAGGACGTTCGGAAGGCGAGGTCGACGGACCCAACCTGAACTCCGAAAGTTGGGAGCCTCTTTCTTTTCAGACCGCGCATCTCCGCACCCCAGGAAATCAACTTTTGATTTTTCACTCGAACGGACTCACGCACCTTAGCCCCTAGGAGCCGCTGTCCTCGTGTTCTCTCGTAAATGCGTGCAGCCACGACTGCGCCTAGAATAAGACGAGCAAATCTACGTCACCACCCTCACGCAGGAGCGTCTGAACGAATCGCTGCAGCGACTTCGCGAAAGCTCTGAAGAAATCGCGGCGCTGACGGCAGAATGCACTTCTCTGCAAAATGACGTCGCACGAGCACATCAATCACAATCTCAAGCACCGGGCACTCCGTAATAGCTCGCGCCACAGGCATCGCAAGATGGAAGTGTTGGGCGACCCGCGAGTGCGGCTAGTGATGGCGTCGTCCGCCATGACGCAGACGACGACCACGGTGCGACACACCTCGAGGCGACAAATGCGGCCCGAAGCCAGCCTCGCGTCATGATTTCGGCACTGCCGTCACCGATGCCGCTGAAGCCGCAGCGTCCGCCATGCATTGACCCGAGTCAAGGGGGTGGTCCTACCGTTCAGGCGTGGTTGTTCACGATGAACGTGTTTTTCGACGCCAATTACGTCTCCGAGGATACGGCAAAAATTCGCTACGTCGTGTCGCTGCTGCGAGGACCCGCCATGGACTGGCGGCGCGTCAACGTCACGAAGCCGAACGACTATGCGACTCTTTGATACGGGAAGGACAAACCGGACCCTGGACGCCGTCGTATTTTGTGGAGGTGCCCCAATATCGCACGTGGGATGCGTGGTACGCAGGTCTGCACGCTCGATTTGAGCCAATTGCGGCTTCGATCGCGGCGCGTCAAAAGCTCCGCACTTGGCGCCAACTCGGTTCCGTCCAAGATTACACCAGTGGGTCTCTGGCGCTATGCGAGCAAGTGGGTTATATGCACGAGGGCGAGCGTATCGATCGCTACATCGGCGGCCTGAAGCACGACATCGCTAAGGAAATCCAGCTTTGCGGCGTCACTGAGTTTCACGAGATTCTCGCCATGGCGGAGAAACTCGATTTCTTCCGCCGACCGAGACCCACGGAAGCAGCAGTAACTGGAGACATCGGTCTTGTGGGACGAACGAGGGCGCTACGATACGAGCCGTTGCCGCGAATGTCGCTGCCGCACCGTTCAAAGGGCGCTGCTTTGCGTGTAATCGGTCGGGACACCGCAAGAGCGAATGCGTGGAAAACACTAAGGGAAAGGGGGAAGCAGAGCAGCAGAAACAGACCAAGCAGTAGGGAAACGCTGGGAATAAGTAGCAGACGGGCCCTCTACTGATAGGTCATGCCACTCGCCCGACCCAACCGACCCTCACCGAGTGATTGTGCCGGTTCACGCAATTGACCACACCCGGCCGAATAAGGAGGGTACTACGGTAGACAGCCCCATACTGCTTAGTGGGAAAATTGGGATGGACTTAGTTAAGATATTTGTAGACAGGGGAGCCAGCCATAGCCTGATCAACACTGCCACAACACGAAAACTGAGACTGCCACTGGACAGGTGCTTACCTGAGATCGACGCAAGACTGGTTGACAGCACGCCACTGGCCATACGGGAACGCGTAGACCGGGTTCGGATTGCGGGGGTAACTTTACGTTTAGTCAGGAAATGCTCGCGACAACCCTCGACGGAACCGACATTTTACTCGGTCGTGATTGGCTGCGACAACACAATCCGCGACTCGATTGGACGACGGTTGACTGTACTGTGCGAGTGAATGATAACAACATCGCCTTTCCTCGCTGGGGCTCGCCTGAGTCTTTGTCAGTGTGTGTTAGCGCGTTTACGATGAAACGTGCCGTAGCGGTAGGAGCTTACGTGTACGCGGTTGACATTTGGGAAGCCGAGGCAGCAGACAAAGGGGGGGATTTACAGAAACTGCTAGCCAACGTACAGGATGATTTGGCAGCACTCCTGAAGCGGTACAGTGGGATATTTCCGGATGACCTGCCGACGGGACTGCCACCTGAGCAACCACACGACCAAAGGATAGAGTTAGAACAAGGGGCACAGCCAACAGTACAGCGACAGTTTCGACTGACCCAGCCCGAATTGGACGAACTGAGGAAGCAGCTGGATTACCTGCTCGAAAAGGAGTTTATTCGCCCGAGTTCGTCATCCTTCGCAGCACCGATATTGTTCACACCGAAAAGGGACGGGGGTTTTCGCATATGCATCGACTACCGTGCACTGAACAGGTTTACCATCAAATCCCGTTACCCTATCTCGCGAGCAGACGAACTGATCGACTAACTGTGAACAGCCCAGGTTTTCTCAAAAATCGACCTTCGAGGAAGCTACCACCAGAATCGAGTCAACCCACCCGACTGTCCAAAAACTGCCTTCCGAACACGCTACGTATCCTTCGAATACACCGTCATGCCCTTCGGATTGACCAACGCCCCCGCCACTTTTCAAATGACCATGAACGAAGCCTTCCGCCTTCTTTTTAGATAAGTGCGTCATCGTGTACCTCGACGACATACTGATTTACAACCCAGACAGAGCACAGCATATACAGGACATCGAAGCAGTTTAAAAATACTGAGTGAAAACCGCCTACTGACTAAAGCCTCTAAGTGTGAGTTTTTACAGGACAGACTAGAGTTTTTGGGACATATCATCTCAGCTAAAGGAGTGGAAATAGACCCGAAGAAGATCGCAACGATTCAAGCGTGGCACGCGCTGGCAATTTTGACCGAGTTGTAGAGTTTTTTGGGGTTCGTCAACAACGTGCGCCGGTTCGTCCCCGACATGGCGAAGTTGACTGCCCCGTTGACCGACTTGCTGAGGAAGGGGGTTGAGTACACGTGGGGGGAGAAAGAGCAAGCTACTTTCTCGGCCCTCCGCCCGTGCTTCACATCGCAGATCCGCACCGTCCGTTCGAGCTCGTCACCGATGCTAGTGACATCGCCGTGGGAGCGGTACTGTTGCAGGACTTCGGGAACGAACTCCAACCAATCGCGTACGAGTCCCGCAAGCTTCACCAGCCCGAACGCAACTACCCGATACACGAACGCGAGATGTTGGCGATCGTGCACGCGTTCAAGGTGTGGCGATGTTACCTCACGGGAGCAGACGTGACAATACGGATAGACCACCGATCACTACAGTACCTTCGCGCCCAACCGAATCTCAACCCGAGACAGATCCGCTGGTTGGACTATCTGGAGTCCAACTTCCACTATACAGTCACGTACAAAAATGGCACATCAAATATCGCCGACGCACTCACACGCCCCACCGCCCAACTCCACGCAATCCTACTCGCCCATACCAACTCACTATTAACAGGCCTATTCACCGACGGATACAGTACCGACCCATTTATTACGACCGGAAATTCACAGCATTTGGCAGAAGCTAAAGGAGTCTATTATGTAAAGACAGGCACCAACCGCATCTGGGTACCCGCGTACTCACTACTGAGGGAGCTGCTACTACAGGAGGCACACGACGGGATTACCTCGGAAGATTTTGGGGTAGAAAAAATGCGACAGCAACTGCAGCGGTACTACTACTGGCCGGAGCTGTTGTCTGACGTACAACAGCACGTGGGCTTGTGCCTCACGTGTCAGGTGATGAAGAGCTCGCGAAAAAGGAAGGCGGTTCAATTGCAGCCGATTCCACCGCCCGAGCGCGTCTGGCAGCAGGTTACCATGGATTTCGTCACAGGGTTACCTTCGAACCCTGGGGGTAACGACGCGGTCATGGTCGTCGTTGACAGATTGACGAAAATGGCTCACTTTGCTGCATGCAAGAAATCGATCTCAGCCGAAGAAACCGCTCGCCTGTTCATCACAGCTGTCGTTCGACTACACGGGATACCAGCCGCGATAATCAGCGACCGCGACACGAAGTTCACTAGCAATTTCTAGAATAACCTTTGGGAGAAGTTTGGGACCAGGCTACAGTTCAGCTCATCGTACCACCCTGAGACCGACGGTTAAACAGAGCGGACCAATCAGACAATGGAGCAGTTAATTCGGGCCACGTGCGACGACTCGACAACTTGGGAGCAGCATTTGGCGCTGATTGAGTTCGCCT